AAATTAAAATTAATAACATAAATAAATACAAAACCAAATAAAAGGCTTGGCCCAATCAAATAAAAGCCCAAAGCAAAAAAATATAACATGAAGAATGAAGTCGAAAAACAATGCAAGGCCCAAACTTAGTTGAACTTTGATGTGTCAGGATCTACATTCATTAAGCCCATTAATTCACAAGCTTGTTGAAGGCCCAAAATGGCCAAGAACAAAAGGCCCATTCAGCCTTGTTGTAAATGTCTATAATGGATGGGCTCTAGGAAGGAGGGAAAAGCCCTTCTAAGAAACCGCATGAATTCATGAAAGAGGAGTGCTGTTTAGTGGGCTACAACATGTGAAAATAAAGTCGTGCATGGCCTGGGCAGTAACGCAAGAAGGAGTTATGAAACCAGAAGCTGCCATGCATGGGATATGGGAGAGAACGTAACGAAGAACCTGCATGAGCAGAAATTGGAGAGAACGTGGAAAAGGAGAGAGTAGAAAACAGTAAATAAAAACCAGCAAGCAACCAGAAAAAAGCAGAAGAACCTGAAGAAAAAAGGGCAAAAAAGAATTCCAGAAAAAAGGTGCAGTAGCGAAAACAAAGCAGAATAGAGCAGAAAGGAGACAGCAGCAAAAAAAAAACAGAAACGCAAAAAAAAAAAAAAAATACATAGAGGACAGCGGCATTGAAGCAGAAAATAGCTGAGAGGAGAAAAAGTAGCAGAAGAAAAAAATGGAAGCAGAAAGAACAAAAAAAACAGAAGCAGTGGCATCCAAAACTGGGCTGGCGGCGTGCAAACAAAAAAAAAAAAACACACAGCAGTGGTAGTGTAGTAACGAACAAAAAGCCAGGGAAACTAAGAAGGATGAAGCAGCAAAAGAAGCAGTAGAAGGAGGCTCCAGCGGGTATCTAATAGGAACAAGAAAAGGGTGAGCTCTCGGGGAAAAGGGAAGAGCGAAGAAAATGGGAACGCCTGCGCGTGGAAATTGGCCAGAAGGATAAGAAGAAACAAAGTACGGAACGTAAAAATATTTTTTTTTCGCAGCAGAAAAAGAAGAACGAGAGGTAGCGTTTTTTTTCTTCCTGCTTTCCTTCTTAACTGTATGAATTTGTTTGATGTAAGTTGTTTGAATCTGTAGTTCTATTTGTGGGGCTAAAAGAAGGTTTTTCTTTAAATAAAATAAAACACTTTCACAACAGGGAAGGAGGGAATGTTTGTGGAACTTTAAAGCCCCAACACAGAGTGAATATAGGTTCATTTTTTTGTATAATGGTCTGTTTGTTTGACAGCTTAAAAGTTTTATCTTATGCTTGGTTTCCTTTTTCTTTCTGCATGGAGTCTAGGCGGGGAAGCTTAAAGATTCATTCCTTGTATGTTTGTTGCTTCCTTTCTTCTGTATGCAAGCTGCTATAGGGCCCAAAACTTCATCTTCATGTCATGCCAATTTGTGGTTGTTAGTTTTGAATGAAAAGAAGAAAATTTGCTAATGAAACCCGACGGTGAAAGTGTTAAAAGGAGATTAAAAACTTTTAGTCTATATTTTGGGTGTTTGGCCTACAGTTAGGAGTGGACATATATAAATATATATATATATATATATGAAAAGTTTTTATATAGAATAGGTGAGCTGGCAATGTTTTTTAATTGGGATTCTCCTTCTTTTAAATAATGAACAAAGGTTATAAGAACATGAAGCCTTGAATTCATTTGCATTTAATAAAATTTATTTTTATGTATATATAATGATATACACATCCATGCACATTTCTTATATTGTTTGAGTTTAATTTAAATTTCAAGCATGTTTAAATTTTGTATTAGTTTGATTTTTCTGCTTATTTTAGCTTTAGTTTAATTTAATTTTCATGTTGTACATTATTTTAGATTTAATTCATTCTTCATGCATTTTAAATTTATTAATTCCATTATGCTTTTTAAAAATAATAATAATAATAATAATAATAAAAGATTTTAAAATTCTTGTTTAGATGTTGGAAGGAATTAAAAATCATACTTTAAAAATTAGTAATTCCGTTTAGATATTAGAGAATTGTTAAATAATAAAAATATATATAAATAAATAATAAACTTTTAATGAAAAAGGAAAATATATAAAAATATAAAAATTTTAATTTTAAAAAAATTACAAAATACGAGTTTGTTCTTATGTTGATAATTTTTAGAAGGTTTTGTAAATTACTCAAAATCTAAAACCCTAATGTTAAAACTTTAAATATAACCCCAAAGAAAACACCAAAAATCAAAACCCCAAAATTAAAATCCTAAACGAATCTCTAACCCAGGAAACCATAAACCATAAGCAAATCTCAAAACTCTAAAGTGCAATTAAACTTACCAAAAACCTTAAAACCATTTTAAATTTTTAAATATATGTACGAAAACTATTTTTGAAATAATCTATTTTTGAATATTGCCTAGATAATGGAATATTTATGAAATTTTATTTCATTAAAGAAATTTTATATGTTTTTGTAACTTAAAATAAAAATTTTAATAAAAAATAAAGAAAAATAAATAATAAAATGAGATTTAAATATAAATAATCATATATAAACTCTATCTAAAGGTCAAAGAGTCCATATGATCTTTTTATATTCAAAAACCAAATTCTTGAATTTGCATTTTATTATTATTTGCATAAATATCATCTTTTAGATTAATGTTTATGCTTATTATGCACGTATATGTTTATTTTAATTATTGATGTTTAATATTAATTATATCATTCTTCATTTTACTGCATAAAATGTTCTCTAAAAAATTAGTTTTAAATTAAAAAAATTAAAATAATATTTCGTGAAATATAATTATTAGTATTTTGTCTAGATGTTAGAAAGTCATCAATGATTATCATTTGCAAATAGTATTTTTTATTATTTTTAAAAGAATGTTATGATAAATCTTAGATGAAAAGACTATCTTTGAATTTTGTTTTTATATCGGAGAATTTAAAGTTATTTCTTTAATCCCGAGATTTTCATAATATTCCTTAATAAATATTTTTAATTGATTTTATTTCTTAAAAATAAAGGAAATTATAATTAAATTTCATATAATTTTTTTGTTTAAAATTATAAATAGCATGTGATTAATTGGTATCAATTTTATGTGTATCGTGGAAGTACTAATCCTTCTTCACGTATAATCGACTCTTGAACTTAATTTTATTTTAATAGATCAAAATTATCTTTTTAATAAACTTTAAATATGTTTTATTAAAAAAATAAAATTTTAAGTGACCAATCACACCTTAAAATGAATTTGTGATGACTTTTCATATTTTTATAATTTTTAATTTTTACAACTAACAATTGAATCTTCGTTATTAATATATTATGACAATCCACAATACCTTTTCTTCCATTTATGTCAAATAATTCACCCAGACCGCATATACAAAAAAGCCTTTATCCTTTAGTGGTACATTTATCAAGTGTACACCATTGTCATGGAATTTAATGTGTCAAACCTCTATTGTGAACTTTTTCGCTTGAGTAGAGAAACCTTTATTCTTTTAAGTCAACCACAACTCAAGATTTTCTTTGAGTGGTTTAAGTCCCTTCACCAATAGCTCAAATACACTGCACACATCAGACACATTTCTCCATATTATATTATCCTGTCATTTTAATATTTTATAGACCATGCCAAATAAATGATGATGGTACAATTAATTTTAAGGCATCTATAGATATTTATCCTATAATCCTTACTCTCTATACAAAAGGTTGTACCTGTACCTTGAAGAATTTCGACTTCTTCTCAAAAGACTCAACAAAATCAATAAAGAACACATTCCTAAAATTCCTAAAGAATTACCATCTTCAAAAAAGAACCATGATGATGGTACCCCTATAATACATTTAAGAGTTGCACAGTCATCTTAATAAGTGAATCTTAACATCTCCTTGACTAATTGGTGAAATAATTTATCACAAAGACTTATGAATTTTGATCTCTTGAATTTTACAAAACTGATGTAACTTCCTTCGAATCCAATTTGTAGGACCTAAGAGATATCACATGGATTGGAAAGAAATTCGAATAAAAAATGTATGACCAATGATTGAAATCCTAGGAAAGAGATCCAAAAGAAATTGATGAAGAACTATTCAAATCAATTGATCAGTACCTATCCAGATAATTTCATAATCAATTCAAAGAATGAAAGATTTATTTTTGTTATTTTTTTTATTTTATTTAAGATATATATAATTATGTGTATAATACAGCTCTGATTATGACAAAATTAATGGTAACAAATCAATATCAACTTTTGTTAACATCAACTTTATGTCAAGATATCAATTTTGTATTATGTTTACTTTATGTCAAAGTTATATCAACTCTATTAAAAATACTTTGATAAAAAATAATTAACACTCATTTATTAAAGCTAGTTTATTAAATTACTTAGATAAAAAAGAAGGACCACTCATTTATTAAAGCTCCTTACTATTTCGTTTGTATTACTTTATCTCCAAGTTATGGACCCTTAGATCATATCAAGTCTTATTCAATTATTTTTGTATATCTATTTAATCTTGTAATTCATTTCTTAAGAAGTCAATTCAATTCCTCTCCCCACTTCTCCTGTAAAAACCTCTTATGAAATATAAAAGTATGTGTTTTTAAATTTCTTTTCCTTTGGCTATTCCTTTCCATCCAGGTTTTAATTTTTGGCTATTCATTTCCATTTAGGTCTTAATCTTAGAGTTATATCTTGATTTTTATATCATGATTTGAAGTAATACAAGTTAATATACTCTGCAGTGACCACAGTTTTGTGAATCCTCTGCATTAGAATTCTTATAGAATTGTAGACCATTAATCCATTGAACAAAAAAAAAGTTACCATACAGAAAAATATTGAAGTAAAGTATTATAATGAAAGGCATAGTTCCATAAAAGTCAAGCTACTTGATGTCATGTCAAGAAGGGGCTTAATTTTGAGTACCGATTAAAATACTTTGATTTTATGCTTAAACTATGAATTGCTTATGTTTGGTATCTCCTCTAGGAAGGCAACCGATCCTCGTTGGATGTTTGGTCTGGGTCAATGTTTAAAGCATTTAATATCATCTGCTGAGTACAATTTCAGGAGGATTGTCTTGATGGGTGAAGTCACGAAAGCAATTAGGAAAGAATAAGAATGTTTGATGACTAGGAAAACACGTAAGAACTTACAAAAAACTGCCTGCAAGAGTTGATGAGATTCAAAACAACAAAACAGTTTCGTTGAAACAGATATTCTAGTTGAATAACATACATGAGCTACATTGCCTTCAAAATCTCACAAATACTGAAAAAGACAAAAGAAAATTACAGTTATAAAACTATCAAAGTGAAAAAAATGGATTATGAATTGTGCTGGCATGCCCCAGCCCCAACACCATAATACATCTAAACTGGAAAAGCATGAGATGTCCCATATTGTAGATTTGGTGGTTGTCCTTGTTGCAACAAGCCATGGGCAGTAGTTGAATAAAAACAAGACCCGGCTCATGATTGCTCCTCATTCTCCTCTGGCAATAATTTTCTTTCTAACAGTAATCACGTTGAAATGATGGTAAAGAATACAGGAAGTTTAATACATAAAACAGTCTAGAGGCAGGGTTGAAAAATGACCACAATCTGAATCATACCGAGTTTTTAAGGAACTTTCATGACTTGGATGGACTGCAACATGTCTGACACAGCGATTACAAGGTCACCTGATTTGGTCATTCCCCTGGCTTTGAGTAACGAGAAGGTTTTGTTAAGGTTGCTTTCCATATCATCAGAGAAGCTCAGACGGAAGGGTATCAGACCCCACTGTAGGTTCAGACGCCTTCGGACAGAAGTTGTTGTTGTAAAAGCAAAGATGGGACAATCTGGTCGACAGCGTGATAGGAGGGAGGCCATGTAGCCTGTCTTTGTGTAGACGAAAAGGGCATCCACCTCTAAATTGTTAGCTGCAGATCACAATTAAACTCACATCAAGACTATAATTGAAGAAACACTTGTTCAAAATGAAATGTTGGATATCTATCACCTAGACTTTCTTGAGTGAAAGAGGGTAGTTACACACTTGGCTGATAGTTGATATTGTGTCATCTACTCATATACACCAAAACTCTTTGCGACATATGGCAAAAAAAAAAAAAATAGAAGAGAACAAAACAGGATGAAAGCTAATAGCATCAGAGGAAAAAGGGAGGAGGTGGAGGAAGAGAAATCACCATATTATAACAATCTCAGGACAAAAGTTGTATGCAGTCAGATGTTTATTACAGTTTATTCAATTCACCAGATTTTATAGGACATTGAGCCAACTATAAAGGGCTATTACGAATTACCGGAGATACTTAAGAAATGAAGCTATCTAACAAAATTCCAAGATGGAGGAAGAGAAATCACCATATTATAACAATCCCAGGACAAAAGTTGTATGCGGTTAGATATTTATTATGGTTTATTCAATCCACCAGATTTTAAGGGACATTGAGCAAACTATAAAGGGCTATTACAAATTATCCTTTAAGAAATGAAGCTAACTACCAAAATTCCATTTTGATTGCATTTACAAATTCATTAGCTCAAGAAGACTTATTAACATTTTAAATAAACCCAATAAAAGCAATAATTTCATATTGAAAAAAATAAACTCATGAAAGTTGCCCAAATCATCCAAATGCCCCTAAAACATAATCACTTGAAGAAAGAAAAAGAAGAGAAAAATGGCATGAATCTAGAAAGATTCTTTCCATGACATACACCATACCAGGATAAACAAATTTTTGCCACAAATACTAAAAAAGTAATAATGCGTATACAGAAAATGCAATGGAGTTTTAAAGTCTCAAGATGTACAAGATTCTTATGACTTTGGACCATAGCCAATTCAATGAAGAGAGAGGACATAGATATAGGATACATATATGCATGCAGATATAAATTTACATAAATGCTTGCGCAAACACATAATTAGACAAATATATTACAGAACCAAATATTCTTACCCATCTTGGCGGCAGAATTACATATCTCTTCTGAGATACTATCTGCAAATGAAGTTCCTACATCTGGCAGTTCCATAGCCTCACGGCATTTTTCCTCCCTCCACCACTTCTCTATTCTCAAACTAACACTTCTCAGAACAGCCAATGCCTTTTCTGGGTACTGTCCCATAGCTGACTCACCAGAGAGCATTAAAGCATCAGCTCGCTGCCTCACTGCTTCAGAAACATCAGCAACTTCAGCTCGGGTTGGTGTAGGGTATTCAATCATTGATTCAAGTAGCTGGGAGGCAACAATCACTGGCTTATTTAGCAGCCTGCAAAGCTGGACGATCTTTTGCTGGGCTGATGGAACCTGTTCCAATGGTATCTGAGCACCCAAGTCTCCTCTTGCAACCATAGCTCCATCAGATGCTTGAATAATTTCCTCCAAGTTCTTTAATGAGTCAATACTCTCTATCTTTGCAATGACAGCTATGTCACTGCATCACAATATTGAGATGCCGATTTCAGAAAAAAAAAAAAAGAAAGGATCAATACAACAATAAATGTTACTTGATTTTGGAACATAGTACTTATTTTACTAAAAGAGTACTTAATTTCAGTCTCAATTTCTAATTTGCAACTGTTGAAAGTGCACATGCAGCATGATTGTCAGAAGACGAAAATCAAAAACCCTTCTAAAATATCAGAGTTGACTGCAACCATTCCATACTTCTGACAGTGCAAGGCAATGTATGGCACTTACCTACCACGTGACCTAGCAGCAATATAGCTTTTAAGATGATTAATCACTTCTGCAGATTTGACAAAGGATATTGCAATAAAATCAACACCTTCTGCAATCCCAAAGTCGATGTCCAACCAATCCTGAAGTGAAAACAAAGCTTGATTATGCAACCAGGCTTACATTTTTTTCATTTCAAGTAAGTAGTTCAGCAGAAACAGATATGCCACCATGCAGGCAATACAACAGAACAAGCAGATAATTGCATGAATGTTAGAGGCATACAATAAAGACAGCCTTAATACTCAAACATCAAAGTTGCAAAATCAAGAGAACCTACAGGATAAATAGCAAAATTAGATCCCAAAAACACCATTGCTAAGGTTGAATGAATTGGATTCGTGCCCCTACCACATTTGAAACAGACTTAATCTATTAATTATTTATTTTGTTTATTACCTTTTTGCATAACCTTGGACTTCTTTTTTGCAACATTACATAAACCAATTCCTTACCATTGTATGGAAAAAGAAAATGCCACTTAAGTTGACTTGATTTAAAGAAGCAAAAGACAATGTTTAACAAGTTAAATATAGTGTAATTCAGATAAACACATAGTTAATTCAAAGAGACTCTAAATGCTACAATGTTAGTTATTCCAATGTCCGATTCCATTATTACTACATGTGACCAAAACGGAGTTAGAGATAACATCAGAAGTCTGATCAAACTAGCTTTCCCATTAGCTAAATCATTCAATAACATGTAATAAAATTCAAGGAGCAAAAAAGAGAAACAAGTAACAACCTTGGAAGAAATGGTAGGAAGCATAGCATTACGCTCACGAACAAGACTCCCATCCCTCCAGAAAGTCAAATTAGCTCGAGGAAGCATCAATCCCGGGTCAGTACACCTACACTTAACATCAGGACCAATCTTCTCTATCACCTCAAATCTCACCATTCCACCATCAACCAAAAGTTCATCCCCAACTTTCACATCTATATAACCAACATCAAATAACCTTATTTAAATCACCAAAAAATCAATTTGCTTATAATTACTATTTCTTTAACTAAAACTTAAGATTACAAACCTTCAGCAAAACCGTCATAGTTGACATTAACTGTACGCTCTGGCCGTGGCGAATCAAAAGCTCTAACACTAAATGTCCAGATTTCTCCATCCTACATTCAAAACTAATAATTCAAAATTTAATGAAATAAAAAGATTTCTATTTTTTTTCAAAAAATAAAAAACTCTTTTTTTATTTTACCTCAGCTTTGGCGGAGGCAGCGCCACCGAGATCTCCCATGTGAATTTCGCTACCTTCAGTATCCATCATAATAGCGACGGCGAAGCCTTTCTCTTCGTTGAGTCTCCTTACCCGCTCGATCACCGTTTGATGCCACTCGCGTGTGCCGTGGCACATGTTGATTCGAGCCACGTTCATGCCTCCGACAGCCAACGCTTCAAGCTGCTCGAACCCGCACGTGGCTGGACCGATCGTGCAGATTAGCTTCGTCCGCCTCGTGCTACGGAATCCGTTCTCCTTGAGCTCCGCCTCCGTCACGGCGTCCACATCGATCGCCGCCACAGCTCCCAAATCCGACGGTGCATGAGACAGAACTGCCCCCACGTTGTCCGCTGATAAAACCCCCCCAACTCCACTCTGGCCGTTTCCGGAAGCCAGGACTTGTGATGACGTTGCATCGAGATCTGAAGATAACAATCTCGTGATCGTGGTAGAGTGCCTTTTGCTGGGGAGTTTAATTACCGAGGAATGGGGATAGGACGTTGCGGGAAGTTTTGGGAGAGTGAGGTAAGGAGGACGGGAGGGAGTGAAGAATTGGAGGGACTGCGACATTGTTATCAGGACAGAAAACAGTTGCCGCTGGCGGGAAATGTATGGAGCAAGTGAATTAGTAGGAGTTTCCCCTTTCTTTTTCGTGTTTTGGGGAATTTGAGAAGAAGACGGATAAACCGAAGAGACGCACCCGGTTTGCAGCTTGGGGATGTCGCAGAGTGAGGAGCCCAAATGACAAAAAATAAACGTTTTTTTTTTTCTGCCAAACAGCGCATGCAGGGCTGTTAAACGACTAAACAACCTAGCAAGTATTAGGAAGTGGAACTGTGGAAGTTGGGAGTTGGGAGTGCTAGGGGGAGATTGGGCGCAACTTTTTTTATTACGTGGCTGATTTTGGTTGGTTAAATGTAGGGAATGTTAAAAGATGATGGGGGCCTTTGGCGTCGTAATTTTGAGAACGTCGCTGTTTAAAGGCATATGATGAGATTCAACCACCGGAGTGGTGCTATTTTGAATGAACTGGACTGCTGGGCTGAAACAGTGCTTTCACATTCGGGCCTTGGCGACGTGGATGGATCAGATCGTCAAAAGCATATATGATTCTTTGGCCCACTAAAGATTTTTAGGCTATCTAAATTGCATTAATATAATAATTAGGCATCCAAAATTGAACATAGGGGGATATCGGTGATTAAAAATTTTTTTAAACAATTCAAAATGATTTTATAATTTATGTATTTATATTACATAAAATATTAATAATTTATATATTTATATCAAAATTATATATTATAATAACATAAAAATATAAAATATATATTTTTATTAAATTTATATATTATTTTTATTAAAATTTTAAACTATTCGTTTTGTTGTACTTTATATTGTCAATTTTAGTGCGCTACAGCCATCAAGCCAATGTTTGTAAAAATATAAAAAAGAAAAAAGAATGGCAAAATCGCCAAGTAATCAGCACTAGGCATACACGTCAGCAGCAACCGTGTCAAGGACAGCAATGCCCCTCTATTTGCTCTTCCTTTTTCATTTCCTCCCCGCAAATAAATTCCCTCTTTCTTCTAACATTTCCTAAAGTAGACTAAAAAATCTATATATATCGGAATTTCTCTTGATTACCCCCAAAAAATCTGTTTCTCCTCCTTCACGATCCACGCTAGCCCCTCCGTCACCACTGTCCATCATCATCATCGTCATCATCACAACCAAACCTCTCAATCCAGGTAAAAAATGAAAATTTTATGTTATTTTATATGGTTAGATCCGTTTCTTTTATCGATTTAATAAGATATAAAGGATTGATTGTTGTTCTTGTTTCTTTTTTTTTTTGAAAGGAACAAAAAAGATGGGGGCTTTCATATCGAAGTTTTGGTTCATGTTATTTCCCGCAAAAGAATATAAGATTGTGGTGGTGGGGTTGGATAATGCTGGCAAAACGACGACGCTTTACAAGCTTCACCTTGGCGATGTTGTTACTACCCATCCTACTGTTGGTAGCAATGTTGAAGAGCTTGTTTATAAAAACATCCGCTTCGAGGTATTCTTTTTTTTTTTTTTTTTGAGATTTCATTTCCAATTTCTCGATGATTTTATTTCTGGGTTTTCATTTTTCAAATCTTTTTTATTTAATTTCGTGGAAATTGTTTTTATTTTTCAAAGCATTTGGTGGTTGGTAGTTAAAAATTCAAGGGGCTTTTTAGTTTCTTCGAAGGGCTTGGTATTGGTGCATTTGTTCAATGGTTCGAATCTTTTTGATAGCTTTTTGTTTGTTAAGGAAAAGTTGTGAGGGGTGGAATCAAATAGGTTTAAAGCTCGGAAATTTGTTGTTTAGTTTTCATGTTGTGATTATATAGCCACCGGAATGGGATTTTTACTGACTGCAAACCGTGGTGAATGTCCTTTTTATTTTGATTTTTTATGAACATTATGAAATTAATCCTCGTATTTGAAGGGAAGTTAGTCAGTGCATAGCTTTTGTTGCTTAGAAATTGACTTTTGGAACCTGTTTGATGCATAATCTTAAGTGAATGGTAGCTCTGGTCTCTTGTTAGGATACCTTGTTTGAAGTAATCTTCATAATAATTCAGACGAAACTTAGGAAAGCAGATTATTGGTTTTTTGTATTGGAGGAGGTATTGTTGTGTTTGTTTGCATATAGAGGTGTGCATTATTGTAAGAAACAGATGAGTACTTAGTTATGCAGTATGGCATGGTTGTATGATCGTGATGCATAACGTATCGGCTTTACCCTTTTTATTCATTCGGTTGTGCATATTTATCCATAAAGGAATGTTGTGTCTAGAGTTTAGTTACTGCCTACTTACAAAGATATAAGCTCCTTTTATTGTTTCCATAAACTTGCTCTGTAGGTTTCTGAAAGGAAAGTCACATTATGTGGTTTCATTAGATGAAATATTTTCCCTATATGATGCAAACATTTATCCCTTTTACATCTTAAGTTCTTTTAACAGACATTTTGGCTGTAAGCAGATCATATTTAAATGGCGGACGAATGTTTTTTTCATGTATAATTTGTCTTGAAGTAAAGACACAGAGACGCATTAAATGTGATTAATTGGGCATATTGCTTCTGTTCAGTATGTTGATTGGATGGATCTTTTCTTACTCCATTCTTGGTTTTCCTTTATATTTAATTTAATTGTCCTAGTTGAGTTACTCTTTATTTATCATTTAGTTCTAAAATTACTATAATATATGAAGTAACTCGATGGCAGAATGCAATTTATTGAGCAAACATTGACTTATGACTAATTCCATCAGGTCTCATTGATCTTATTTTGCCAATGTCTTCAGCTTGTACTTTATGAAGATCGAATGTTCTGGCAGTCTTTAATTATGCGATTCATCTTAAGAAAAAATATTGAGACTACCAACTGGATAGGACAGCTCTATATTTTCTTTGTTATGGAATTGTGTACTAAGCCAAAAAGTAGAAGAGAGTAGAGTGAGGTGTGAGGAGATTGAATGCGATGGTTTCATTTAGATTTTATGAATCTGCTGAGCACTTAAATATTTGTATTTGCCTCAGGTCTGGGATCTTGGAGGGCAAGAAAGATTAAGAAACTCATGGGCAACATACTACCGTGGAACTCATGCTGTTATTGCGGTGATAGACAGCACTGACAGGGCCAGGATCACCATTATGAAGGATGAGCTCTTCAGGTTACTTGGACATGAGGACCTACAACATTCTGTTATACTTGTCTTTGCAAATAAACAAGACCTAAGGGATGCAATGACCCCGGCTGAGATCACTGATGCCCTTTCGCTTCATAGCATAAAAAATCATGATTGGCACATCCAATCCTGTTGTGCACTTACTGGAGACGGCTTGTACGATGGTCTAGGGTGGATCGCCCAGCATGTTACCGGGAAAGCACCGAGTTGAAGATGGGATGATCAATCAAAGAGTTCATTTTTCATACATTATGGATTCAGATGACTGAAACAGTGTCAACTTTGGTGTACCATCTGATGTATGAGCTGTTCTTGTTAAAATTTGTAGATTGTTTTCGCATTTCAATTTGCCTTAAGAAACTGACATTTTCTGCACAATCACTATAAATAGGATTAAAAAAAATTGCTGTGAAATTTTCATTTTGTGCACAATGAAATATTTCATAAACATCTGAGATGACTCTGTTGCTCAAACATTTGTAACTCTGGAAGTTGAAGTCTCTCCAAAAAAAATTGTCACAGTATCCAACATTTGAAACCTTGAGGAACCATCGATCCCAAAAGGGATTTAGTGGGCCATTTGTTCTGTCAACAATGATGAAGATAATTTTCGGGAAGAATTACTGCAAAAATGAAATGAAAGAAGGGATGTTGAAGAGATGTATGTTTTACATAAGTAGTGGATCAGGTCTACTTTCCACATTACTCGGTATCCTGTCATGCATATGAAAACAAATTTGAATCAGCTTTGCCCTGAATTTTCATGCTCAGATAGGAAACGAATACCCAGTATTCTTCATACGTACTCTTTGCATGCAGCTGATGCTTTTCCGTCCTTTCTATCTGCTCCAGTTCTTCCTGTGTATAGCACACAACATTATGGAAGGTCAATAAAAATATTACTGACTCTAAATTTGTAGTCGGTTCAGATCAAATGACGAGAAAACCATTGGCAAAAAATAACATTTTATTTTCTAATCTTAAGCATATATGGTAAACTATGAAACATCAACGGAGATCTTCTCAAAATGATGGCTGCATTAATATTTTCCACTTTTCAACATACATGACTGCATATGTTTGCAGTCATTGGAACGCATTCTCAGTAAAAAACGCGGAAATAGAAAACTTATTAGTTCAAGCTAATCGGCATCTTCAAATATTCTCAAATATGTTACTACAGTAGACACTGAAAGAGCCGGCTTCTTTTATTGCAGCCAAAACCATTCTGTTCTGGCACCAACGGACAGAAAGTATAAAATCATACAGAATATGGAGACAGCAACTCTAACCTGAACAACTAATCAACAAATTAAGTTGCCTTCCAACTCATAAAAGAAAGAAAAACATAACCTAATAAATCTCTAATTTAACCAACGCAAGTTTAGAAAAATGTCTCAATAATAGAGGCACACGGACAGCAGCAGGAAAGACAAAGATGTGAAGTACAACCAGATGAACAAAAGAAATACAAAGAAGTGGGAGTGATTGCATTTGCAATAGATGAGGGAATTTGCTAAGGAAAAGTACAACTATTAACGTGCCCTAAAAACGTGAGAAACAACTTGTGCAATTGAATTTCATTCCAATCATGCTTGGAGTATGCAAAAATTTTTCAAGCAGAATGACATTCCATATATTTTACAAGCAGCTCTTAAGAACATATGTTAACCTAAAAGTCTCAATGGATTTGGACAAATAAAAGAAGATACCCTAAGGGGTGTTTAGCTCACAAAATCTTAGATTTTGAGGAAGAGTGTGATCTCCAAGAAAGTACGATATTCGAGGTTTTTTTTTATTTTTAAGACATCTTATATTCAGATTCACTCATTAGTAGGAATCCACATATATTAATTTCTGAATAATTACCATAATTTCTTTGATATATATGATGATAACTTTTTATTGGCTTTTATTAATAACAAATACCCAAACAACAAATGATGCATTTAATAGCAAAAGAAGATAAGTATTTTATTTGATTGCTATTTTTATTTATAAAATATCATCAATAAAAAATTAGTGGGGATTATTTAAAATGTTTCTAGTTGGAAAACACTTTAAATAATCTTTTTATTTTTTAAAAGGGATCATTTAAGGTATTTTTGATCAAAAATACTTTAAATAATCATTTTTATTACTTATAAGATTTAAGAGATAAAATATAAAAAAACTGAAGTAACTCAGTTGATTAGAGTATATGGCTATTAATTATAAAGTCTTAGGTTTGACTTTTTCCTTTAGCATCTGACCAGAAAATATGGTCAGAAAACATCTTAAATAATGCTGATCAATTTTTTTAGAGGATTATGTAAGGCATTTTTTGTCATAAACCACCTTAAATAATCTCATTCAATTTTTTGTAGAAGATTATTTAAGGCATTTTATGGTAAAAAAACGTCTTAAATAATCTTCAAAAAAATTAAACAGGATTATTTAAGGTATTTTTGACCAGAAAACGCTACAAATAATGCTGGTCAATTTTTTTAGGGGATTATTTAAGGTATTTTTGGTCAAAAAATACCTTAAATAATCTCAAAAAAATTGAACAAGATTATTTAAGGCATTTTTCATGTCAAACGCATTTAATTGCAAAGTAAAAAAAAAAAATTTAACAGTAAAAACCTATAACTAACTTGCAGTCACTTTCATATATGCTTTTCAAAATGGTGACAGCTATTTCATAATTTTTTATTTAGGTCAAATTTGTAAATAATGTAACTTTCTCCCCTAGAATCTTAGAATATTATAGGGAGAAGTGGATTTTTGATTCCAAGACTTTGGGTACTGTTGGGAATCTATTATTTTTCTCGAAAATCGAATTACCTTGAACCAAACATTGGAATCAAATACCCATTAATAAGATTCCAGGAAAAAATGCATAGATTCTCCCAAACCAAATGCCCATGAAAGTTTGTTGGATATGGACAAATTAAACAACTTTTCCAAAAATTTCTAGGAGCTGCTTTATAATGGGAAAATCTTTGTTACGCAAACTTAAATTTGTGAATATGATAAGTAAACACTCCATCTTCATTCCTTCCCTAATTGTTAGCAAAACCATATAAAGTCTACCTAGTTGCCAATTTGAACCCAATACAAAATAACTTCCCTCTTACAAATGGATAGAAACTAACCAGCAAATTTTCATGGATAAATCAAAATACTAATTCCAACCAAAACAAAATTTCAAATTAAATTGTTCAGGCCTAGGCCAAATAACTATTGGAAAAAGCCTTCCACTATTTTGGTGAATAATGGTAAATTATTAAACTTTACAAATGAAGCAATAATATTCATATTACAAGTTAATATATATAACAATGTAAGCTTCTCTTTGCTGAATGCATAATTTATCCCAGTAGATTATAAGTGCACAATACCATTGTTTGTTCCCAAAAGTTACAATTAAAAAAAAAACATGTATAATGGAAATTTCAACAAATCTAATATAACAAGCTATAACCACTATGTATCTAAATGGAATAAACCAAAATTGAAAGGTGATGTGGTGCAACTAAATCATTAAAAATGAGCATAAATTAAACAACTTAATTAACCTAAAAAGGGCTAAAAAATTGGACCTTAGACATTGGAGACCTAGCGACCTAACATGAATTACAAGTTCTTAAAGTCATTGTATCTCAAAAAGAAATACTAGTACATTAAAAGTCCAAAAATAAGGTTAGCATACAGATGCCTTTAACATTAGGGCTTCTAAATAGGCTAGTGATAGTTATGACTTTGCAGCTACGGATAGTAAAACTACCAGATCAAGGAAATGAGGAAGCAATTGATAGCCAAATAAAAAAACCAATCTAGTAAGGCCTTATTAAATTAAATGGAAGAAATTGAATTAATGGAAGTGAAGAAAAGAGCTACTACAGTTGAAAGAATTTTTTGGATAGCAGAAGGCTAAACTTCATTGCCAAACCATAAGTACACCTATGCACTGAAGGTGATCTAAAGCAATATTATGTACTTTTATTTTTTCAGATTTAATACCCCTAACCAATTAAATAAATAAATAAATAAATCTAGGGTATCCCATCCCTACCTTTCTAGCAAAAATAAAGTGAAAATAATCCAAGGTCTGGCATAAGATGATTTCTTTATATAGCAAAAAAATTTAATTCAAGGTCTGGCATTTTCTCTATATCCAACTTGAAAACTCCAAAAGAAGAGACAAATTTCAGGTGACTTAATTGAAAAGACAACAAATAGGCAAATTGAGTTCAATCTATCCACAATAAATAACATACTGACACCATTCATATCCAAACATCATAAGTTAACATTTCAAATTCAAAGATAAAACTAGGTAGTGGACTCCGATCCAAAACAATTAAAAATTAAATACTCCAAACAAGAAAACCAATATTTCAATAACTAGAAGAAGCCAAAAACAAAAAATGATCTTTTACTAACCTTTAATAATCTAGAATCTTGCTCTAACCTTCCGAGTTCAACGTGCATCCTATGTTTCCCTCTAGTATCAACTACTTGGAAAGGTTAAACTTGTTGGGGAATTGGACTCCCCAAGGATTGTGGCCAACCCAATTGCATCTCCTTTATAACAAAATTAAATACAATCCAAAAATAATAACAAAAAAAAAAAAAAAGGCAAAACCTTTTAGACAAATTACAACCTTTGAAAAAACAAAGAAACAAAAAAAAAAAAAAGGCCAAAGTTGAAACTTCCCAGGTTGTTGTATCAGAAAAAAAAAAATAAGAGTAGATAGGCAAATAAAAATGTCTCAAAAATCTTCATGGACCCCATAAACTTAGTCAACAAAGTACTTCTTTCCAAAACAAAAACATTAGTACTTTTTTTAATTTGGAAAAGACAAATGGATCCGTGAAGATTTTAAGGTTGAAAGTGTGAAAATAGAGTTAGGTTTTTTGTTTTTTTTTTCTTTACTCTTATGGGCCTTTGGGGAAAAATGAAAAAGAAGCTTTTAAGTTTCAAAATGAAAGAAGAAAAATTAAAAAGATGCTTTTTTTCTCTGATTTTATCCTTTTTTTTATCTCTTTCTATTTTTTTCTAAATTAAAAAGTCCTTTTGTCATGTTTTTTACTCTCACTTTTCCCAAGAGTGACTTGTACCATTAGAGGCTGTCAACATTTCTTTAGTTTTTATCACAAAATGATTTAGATGAAATTTTTTTTATATTCATAAAATATTGATAAAAAATTGTTTGCAAGTTCAAAATTTTGATCACAAGATAAAAAATTTTAAAAATCAAACAAGGGACACTATTAATTATTTTTTATTAGTGTGATTGATCACTTAAAAAGTTAATTTATTTAATAAAATAAAAAAAAGTTTAAGGATTATTAAAAAGACAGTTTTGATATTTAAAAATATATTTAAGTTTAGAAATATGGTTGCATATAAAGAAGAATCCACATTCTCATAATGTTTGTTTTAAAAATGATACCAATTAATTGCACGTTATCTTTAAATTAAAAAAAAAATAGATTTAACTATAACATTTAAAGTTAATTTCTTGAATTTGATTTATTTCCACAAAATCTCATTTTTATTATCTTTTGTAGACATAATTTTACATGGATAATTCTTAGCCAAATGTAAGGCTTTTAAAGTCTCGCCCAATTCAATTCTAACATTCCTTAACATTAACAAGTTTTTAAAATTGAAATTAGGATCAATTTGACCAAAATACCTCAAGGTCAAACTTGATCAAATA